CGTAAACATACATTTGTGTGTATGTATATATGTTTGTGTGTGCGTGTGAATATGTATATATATATATATATATATATATATATATATATATATATATATATATATATATTAATGTGTATATATGTGTGTGTGTGTGTGTGTGTGTGTGTGTGTATAAGCAAGGGAGATAGATACACATATATGTACATATATACGAATATGTATATATAAATATGCATTTATGCACATATGTGTATATACACACACAAAACCATACACACGTATATAAATATATATTCATTTATACATATTCATATACATTTATATATACATATATATTTATATATGCATATATATGTACATATACATATATATGTATATATACACATATACTTATATATGTACATATAAATGCATGTGTGTATGTCTATATATATATATATATATATATATATATATATATATATATATATATATATATATATATACACAGTGTATGTACACGCACACACACACTCATACAAACACACATACACGCACATATATATAAATAGATATATATATACGCACACATACACACAAGCAAACACACACACACACATGTTTGTGTGTGTGCACATATGTAGAGAATCTATTTTCATTCATTCTTTTTCTTCATTAATCGTAATACGGTTCATATGTATATGTATATGTTTATTTATCTATGATTTATATGTACACATACATACATGTATGCATATATATACATTTATGCATATACATATTTATAAGTGTGTATGCGTATATTCTATTCTATTATTATTATTATTGTGTGCGTATTTATTATGTCATAATAATATATACGGAAACAGGGACACTCCTGTTTGCATACTCTTTAAATTCATCAATTTGTTTATTTACTGTTTTATTAATTTGCTATCTACTATCCTGAAATTCCAAATGCTCTTACGGCACGTGAATTGTAATGTGTTGCGAATCTCAGCTTATATATATATATATATATATATATATATATGTGTGTGTGTGTGTGTGTGTGTGTGTGTGTGTGTGTGTGTCTGTGTTGAACAATATATTTTAGCAGTCGTTAAAATATATTCCCTATATATTTTTTTCTGAGGTAAATAAAAATCATTATTCTTTTACACATTTCTAGTAATAATCATAAACAGTAATAAAAATACAAACATCATACTAGCATATGGACAAAATAGCTCCTTCATTAATCTTAAGGACTAGAATATTGGGTGGATGGAGAACCACCGCTGCTTCCACTTCCTCCGAATCCTCCACTACTTCCTGATTCATTTTCGCCAAAACCTCCGCTTCCTCCACTTACGCCACCGAAACCTCCACTTACTTCACCTGCACCACCGAATCCTCCACTTCCACCTGCACTGCCACCAAACCCTCCATCTCCTCCAAAACCACCTGCTCCACTACCGCCAAATCCTCCATCGCCTCCAAAACCACCTGATCCACTACCCCCAAATCCTCCATCGCCTCCAAAGCCACCTGCTCCTCCGGCGCCTCCGATCACTTGACCACCAGCACTAGCGGCAGCGTTAAGAGCAGTCTCAAGATCCACGCCAATAGGAAGAGTTGGGTTCTCTCCATCTTCGTAGTTAACAAAGTAAACCTCGGGGTTGGTAGCTGGAGGAGCAGTAACCTCGATTACTCGCTGGCCTCCTGCTCCATCGTTCTTGTTCAGGACGTACTACGATGTTCTCTTGCCTTGGTGGAGGAACAATGATGGGTTCAGGTCCTACTCCTCCTTCAGGAAGACGCACGAACAGAATGTTATGGTCCACTCTTGGTGGTGGGACACTTGGTGGTGGACCGCTTGGCTGCTGAGGTTGTTCAGGAGCATCATACAGGAAAACGTTTCTCGTGATTACAGGAACAACGCAAGATCCATCTACATGCAGGATCTCTCCATCACGGCACCCACCAGCGGGACCTCCAGCTCCATTAAATCCACTACCACTTCCACTTGAAAAATCTCCACCAGAGACTCCACTGCCACTTGTGAATGTTCCACTTGAGATTCCACCGTCACTTGGGAATCCTCCACCAGAGACTCCACCGCCGTTTGAGAATCCTCCACCAAAGACTCCATCGCCATTTGAGAATCCTCCACCGGAAACTCCACCACCACTAGAAAAGCCACTTCCGGATGAGTGACTTCCACCATGGGAGAATTCACCTCCCGATGGCGAGGCCAAATTATAGCCTTGAGGTGCCGCGTAAGCTGCGACCAAGAGTGCAGAGAGAACCTGTAGTGAATGAATCATTACCAAATTGCATTACACGAAGCTATTATTCACACTTTGTTTTGTATTAAACATTGCATGCCATAAATATGATTATATATGAGATACTGTGAATATGGTTGCACTTATGCGTGCTTGATGTGTGCGCATATGACGCATAAGAGTGAAGTAAAAAAAAAAGAAATATATATACATATATATATATATATATATATATATATATATATCCTTACATATTCAGCATGCGAAGAAGGAAGTATTACTCACCAAGAGCTTCATGGTGGGTGGTGTTGCCTCGTCTTGTTAGGCACCGCCTTATATACTTACATTCCTTCCCCTTCTCCTCGCACTTCCTTTGACCCCACCCCCTTCTCACTCTCAGTTGCTCACTTCTCTTTTTCTTAAGAAATAAGTTATATATACATATATATATATATATATATATATATATATATATATATATATATATATATATATATATATATATGCATATATATATATATATATATATATATATATATATATATGTATATATATATATATATATATATATATATATATATATATGTATATATATGCATATACATCTATTCATATATATATTCTTATATATATATATATATATATATATATATATATATATATATATATATATATACACACATGTATATATGCATATATATATACACATATATATATTCATATACATAAAAATGTGTGTGTAAAATGATAATCAACAACTGTCGTTTCAATAGCAAATGGCACTAAGCTCTCTGCAGTGTAAATGCAATTTCCCAGTGACTTCAAATTTCTGATGATAATGATGGATATCGGATTAATACAATATAAAGATTATAAATAAACACCAATTAAGATATATTTAATTTCAGTCATTAAGTGCAACTATTATTACTATCCCTCAACTATTACTGCTTTAACAATATTTCTACAACTATCACCATAGCTATATATATCATTATTATAATAACTATTAAGATAATTGCTAATATTAAGATAATCACAACAAATTTATAACCTAACCTATGATAAACATATATCAAATGTTTACATGATGAATTACAGCAATTGCGTTCTTAAAATTATCAATAACAAAATGTGCGTTGTATATAGTTAGGGTAATATACGTGTGTGTGTGTTTTCATTTTCATATATTTATACATTTTGTTTTCCTCTTTTATAATACCCGCCATTACACTGAGAAGATTCGCAAAACCACATCGAAGAAAAACTTTTTTAGCCATTAATTAACGATGTAATTTCGATTTTATCATGCACTGATTTTGAATTCAAAAAGTTAAAATAGTCCGTACAATTCATAAGTTGTTTGTATATAAAGCAATTCTATCCTATTTACCTTATCTTTATTCAAAAGTCAATTGCCCAGATATCTTTAATATTAGTATTATATAAAAATGTCTCTAAATTTCTGGTTCTTAAGTGCTATAAATAAACTTTTGAAAATCAATAATCAGCATCTTTCTCTTGATTTTGATAAATGATTCAGGAAGCTATACATGCTCTTCAAAATTAAAGTTGGATTACACTTTACGTTTAAACATTATGTATACACACACACACACACACACACACACACACACACACACACACACACATATATATATATATATATATATATATATATATATATATACATATATGTATATGTATATATATACACATGTGTTTATATATAAACACACACACATACATATATAATGTGTGTGTGCGTCTGAGTGTGTGTGTTTGTGTGTGTGTGTGTTATATGTATAAATGCAATATATATATACATATATATGTATATGTATATACCAGTTCTATCCTATTTAACTTATCTTCATTCGAGACTTCTTTTCCCAGATATCTTTAATATTGTAAATTAATACTGCTTGTAAATGTCTCTGAATTTCTGATTCTTAAAAAAAAAAGAAAAAATGAAAATCAATAATTATCCTTATATATACATTTTTATTATTTGATAAATAAATCAATAGGCAAATAATAATAATAATAACAATACACTGTTCGCATTCCAGTTTCTATTTTTCCTAATTTTGATGATTCAGGAAGCTATAAATTCTTTTCAAAATTAAAGTTGGAATACACTTACACACACACGCGCGCGCGCACACTCACAAACATATATGTGTATGTGTGTGTTTACACACATACACATACAAATATATGTATACATATACATATGGTTATATGTATATATACAATATATGTATACACACATCTACACTTACACACACAAATATATATATATGTGTGTGTGTGTGTGTGCGTGCGTGTGTGTGTGTGTGTGTGTGCACGCGCACGCGCGCGTGTGTGTGTGTGTGGGCGTGTAAATGTGTATGTGTATGATATGTATCTATAACCATATGCAATAGCATAAACATAAACACATATATATGAGTGTGTATCTCTCAACTTAAGATACTAAGTAGTCCAAGGAGATTCATGCTCGCATATTTTTAAAATTAGTTTATTTCTTTTATAAACATGTTTAAAATTCTTTGCTTTTCTCTGCCATATGTATATATTCTGAAAATCAACATAATCAGAATTTTATGTGTTCACCAATGCGTTAAATGATATTTCTTATTTATATTTTTCAAAGGTAAAGAAACAGTTATTGATGTTTTACATATATTTAGTAAAATAAAAAACAACAACAGTAATAAGAAGATAATCCATGCTAACACATTTAAAAACATACTTCTCTAATGT